GATGGAGTGACAATATCTGAAGTTGTTTGGTTAGAAGAGTTTCAGCCTCCCGATGAGTTTGTGATTAGGAGAGGGCAATACAAGGGCCGTGTTATCAAGACTTGAGAAGATCTTTCATGTTATTCAAGTGCATTGATGCCTTCATTGAAGAGTTTATTTAGTTTCAATCAAAGTTTCAAACTATGCGACAATAACTTTTGTTGACAACCGAAATTAGACTTTGAGATGTATATATTGATGCATTAGATATTATTTCGCGACCTCAGCTTGAAATGGTAAAATCTTAAGCTGAAAAATATGGATGTGGTGATGCTTTTACTACTTGGTTCGTTTCTTGTATTTTAGCCACTTCCCCGTCCCCATATTCATTTCATTTGTTATCGACTTGCCATTGCTTGTTGCAACATATTTACAACTGTCCATCATCCCTATATATGTTTGCCATTGTGTCCTCAAATTGTAATCGCCAAAGCTTGGACAAAGAAAATAATTCTGAACCCGAACCTCAGAATTTCACAATACTCACGAACGTCTATGAAAGAATGACTTTCGTAATACGAACTTTTTTTCTTTTATGGGTGGAGATAACATAAACTACATTCAATGATGTCAATAAGAAATGAAGTTTTTACCTCCTCCACAATGTTCTAGGGGCGGGGCGGGGCGGGGCCTTAAGGTTGGAGTTCAACCTTTTTAATAAGAAATGAAGTTTGTTTTCCCATCTTTTTGAAGTTTGTCCCATCGAATGGTTTCAACTGCACAAAATCTACCGTGAAATCTCAAAGAGAAGATAAAGTTGGCGCCATTGCAAATTACTCAAAATCTTGAGATTGTTTGTGGATGCCTGAAATTACACGAGGAGTTGAAGTCGGAAAATTCTAGAAAACTCATACTTTGTTAATCCCGACTTCAAGGCACGTTAGAATTTCGCTTTCCTAAAGATGTTATTTGCCCCGCTAATTTTGTACTACACGTGGACACAAATAAAGATACAATGAAGTCTTAATATTATCTAGTTGTGTAATCAAGAAGACAATCTTGAAACACTGATGAAATATTGATGCTTATACTTGAGTCATAGTCCTTCAAAGTAACAAAAATTGCTCAATTTTATAGCCGTGCTGCAAGAGATCTTTCATGTAATCGATGCATAAATTGCCAATTTACCATCACACTACTTCATGAAAATGTAAAAAAAAACACTCCTCTTAGCTTAAAGACATTGCTATAACTCTTGTTTTACCATTTTCATTTCAACTCAACGGTGCCATGTAATAATTACTTAGAAGGTTAGATTTGGTACGATAAGCAACAAAGTCATTTATTATCAGTTTATACGATATAGATGGTCGAATGTGATAAGAGTGATTAATTTTGAAACTTTGAAGTCC